AGTAATAATAATAATAATAATAATAATAGTAGCTAAGGATAATAATAACTATAATAATGATTATTACTACTACTAACATTATTATTATTATTATTATAACAATAATAATGATGGTAATAATAACAGTGAAAATAATAATACTGCTAATGATAATAATAATGATAATAATAATAATGATAACAATAGTAATAATGCTTATGATAATAACAACAATTGTTATTGATTTTGAATTTAAGATTGTTGTTGTTATTATTATTATAATTATTGATTATAATGATAATTATTATTAATATCATTATTATTAATTACATATTTTTTTAATTACTGCTGTTGATATTATTTTTATTACTATTGATATTTTATGATCAATATTGTTGATGTAATTGTGGTTATGAATATGATTATGATTGCTTTTTGAAGAAATTTTCTAATAAATCATAAATAATATTTTCCTTTATTTATTTACTACTGATATTATTTACACATCCATTATTAAACAGATCGCTGTCAGAGGTGTGATCGTATGATTTTGTAATTTCAGTTGACATACAATATTTTCATGCAGTTCTTTGTATCTATAAAATAGAAGGATTATAATGATGTGAATACTCACTCTGTGCAATGGTTCATCCAGTGATACTTATATCTTGAAGTGTAAGATATTCCAAAGCATTCCTTCAGTGTGGAAGTAGTTACTGCAGCCTTGAAGTAGTTTTAGTTAAAACATCTTCACTGCCTGTTTTGATTTTTTAAATTTTTCACAAAAGAGAATGAAATTTGGAAAGTATTTAAAATCCATTAGGAAAAGTCATCTTTGCCTGTCTCGACTATCTTTTTTTATTGAGGAAAGAGAATAGAGTTTGGAGAGCTTTAGAATTCATCCTAAATGTTTCTGTATATTTCAATTACCTGAATAGATACTGATAATTTATTCTGATGTACCGAAAATTCTGATTGTGTATTATTTCAAATGATGTCATAGAATATGTACCTGCTATTATAAACATGTCCTGTAGGTATAAAACTATTTATTTTCCTGATGTTTTGTGTGCTAAATCCCATCTTTTTAGTCAGAGTGCGTTCTATTTTAGATATAGTCATTCCTAGAGCTTGTGGTATATTCTTATGTAAACAATTTATGTAAGCCTTGTATATTAGTGTAATACTCTGAAGTCAAACCAAAAATATCTGCAAATTTAAAGAAATTAATATTATTACCTCTAAAGGCCTTGTATANTTTTCTCTGGCAGGAGGACTGGGTTGGCTTTCCTCTTGTCTTTCCACATGACTACCTTGCCATGGGATCTTGCCATGTGTGTCTTCAGTTCTTCTGCACTTGAGAAGCTCTCCTGACACTGCTGGCACAGGTACACTGAATGCTTCCAGAGGTGAACCACAAGAGAGGACTTCTTTCTGAATTGTGATTGCAATAGTCACATGCATGTTTGGTTTGAGGTGCTTCACATCCTGTGATGACGGTAGGCAGTGATGTTGTGAACTTGGTTGACACTCTTACAGGTCAGGACTCTGCACTTCTGTGGACAGCATTAATGTGTGTGTTTAGTTTCGACACTGTGAAAAACTTCTCTCCACAAGTCTCACACACTATTTTCTTTTCACCATGAGCATGCAGCAAATGGCTTTTGTATGGGACATGGTAATAAAACATTTTATTACAATGCTCACACACATACTTAGTGCCAGTGTGATGGACCACATTTCGATGATAACGCAAACCGGCTTTAGTGCCAAAACACTTTCCACAATCTGTACACTCGACCTCTTTATTCTTCCCTTCACCAATGTCATGAAACTTGAACATATGAACTTTTAACCGAGCTTTTGTTGTGAGGTAACGTCCACAAATGGTGCACTCAGAACCTTTCTGGTGGGCAGCTGCATGTGCAAGAAGGGTCTGTTTGCATACAAATTTCTTCCCACATTCTTCACAAATATGTGTTCCAATCTTGGTGAGTTTTTTTGTTTTATTGCTTGACTGCCTTGCAACTTTTAGTGTAGATTCATCCATCTCCTGGTGTTTTGATAAATGATGAACCCAGAGAGCCAAACTTGAAAACACCTCTTTGCACTGAGGACAGCAGTATTTCTTTGCTGACGCCTGTCTGCGTGAACTTTTCCTAGTGTTGTCTGACATCTCACCATCCTTATCAAGCTCACTACCTTTCTGAAGGTCTAGGTTTACATCTGGCACCTCACTGAGACTATTAACAACTTCTTCAGAGAGAGGGGATGATACCTGTGAGAAGGAGGAAGGAACAACAGCACTGTCTTTGTGTGTCTGAAGAGTAGCTTATATATTCTTAATGTTTTGCTTCTTGTATTTCAGTCCTCCTTAGATGTGTGACCTTCTTGTACAAGGTTGGTGCATCTTGAGCAGTTCCTGCTGATAACATCCTCCCGCTTTGGCCTGCTTACAATGCGAGACAAACAGAGACTGGTGCATTCTCCGCCAGCTTGTGCATCCAGCTGCAAGATGCATGTTAATCTTGAGCTCTTGTTATCCTTCCCACAGACAAGACATAAATCTTTTCCTAAAGCTCTCCTGCCTACATCACCCTCAGAAAACAACTTTTGGTCCTCATAGCTGTCAGAGCAGTCATTGTAAGCTGATTTGTCATTGCCTGGAAGGTAGTCCTCAAAATCAAGACCTAAACAAGTTCCAGCACTAGTGTGCCCCTCATTCACTTCCCACAGGTCTGCCTTCCTATCTCTCCTCACACTCGAAGAGGATAAGGAAGAGGAGGAAGAAGAGGAGGATGCAGTCCTAAATGTATCCTCTTCATCACTTATCAAGAAGGCCTGATCACCATTTTCTTCCCCAGGCACTGAGAACTGGACTGCCAAGACCTTTCTGGAGCTAGTGGGCAAGCTCTGGTCAACAGCAAGAGAAGGGATGGCTTTGCGCTGAAGGCTCTTCTTCTTGCCCTTCCTTATGTCGTCAGGAAGAAAATGGTTCTCACACAGCCCACTCCTGCTCGACAGTGGCTCACCGTTCTCCTGCAAGCAGTCAAATATATTACTTTCTTGGGAAAGAGACTTTGGAGACAATGGATAAGAAATACGTATGCACAAGCCTATAAATAATATCATAATACAGTAAGAGGAGAAACAAAGTCACCTGGTAGAAAGGGGAGAGCAACTTGACAGAAAATGGAAACATCAAGACCACCATATTATGCTTAAAGGGTACTGGCCTAATACTAATTAATGAATAATAATTAATAATAATAATAATGAATGATTATTATTAATATATAATAATAATAATAAATTATATTATTATTATTATATATATAATAATAATATAATAATAAAAGATAATAATACATGATAATATGTAATGGTATACACATATACATACATGCATACATCTATATAAAAAATATGTGTGTGTGTGTGTGTGTGTGTGTGTGTGTGTGTGTGTGTGTGTGTGTGTGTGTGTGTGTGTGTGTGTGTGTGTGTGTGTGTGTGTGTATGCGGGTGCGGTTGCGGGTCGGTTGCGGGTGTGGGTGCGCGGTGTGCGCGGGTGCGTGTGGTGTGGGTGTGCGTGTGTGTGCGTGCGTGTGCGTGTGCGCGTGGGTGTGCGTGTGGTGTGCGTGTGGCGTGTGCGTGTGCGTGTGCGTAGTGTGTGCGTGTGTGTGTGTGTGTGTTGTGTGTACGCGTGCATGTGTCATCATCATCTGGGGGCTAACGCTGACAATATATATATATATATATATATATATATATATATATATATATATATATATATATATATATATATATATATATATAGCTAATAAGTGTAAGCAACTGCTACTACATGTGAATGAACATATCAATTGACAGAAGTCTTATAAGCCAACTTCAAGAGAGGTTTCCACAAATTTAGCTATTTTACTATCTGCCCTGTATGATATGAGGCAAAATGTCTAGAATTCATTTTCACTATCTGCAAGTTAGATAACTGTTTTTGTAACTAACTTTTATTATCAGCATGTCAAAAACTGGAAAAAATTAATGAATCTGATTTTTCATTCTCCAAAGGTCAAGAATTAAAGAGAAAAACAAACAAACAAACAAAAATATCTACTATTTTTGTCCTTTCTTGTTCCTTATTCCCTTTATTTTCCATTTCCACTACCTCCCTCATTTGCTTAGACGACTGCCTACACTCACCTGTGGAGCGCAGAAGCCAGGAATCACCTGCTGTATGGCAGTGACCCATGTAGACTTCTGGTGCTGTGACTTGGGGAAGGTAAACACAGCCAGATTGTTAGTCTGTGTTAGACCACAGACTACGCACTTCCTTGGCATTTTGTCTGCAATTCAACATATGAATTAGAAATAGCACAACACAAGGGGATAAAATTTGGTCAGATAAATACACATACAGTATTCATTAGTAAGTGTTCTTGTGGAAGTCAAATACCGTAATAAAGTGGACATGATTAAGGGATTGTTGGCATGCATCGACAGTTTCCCCGTTTGCCCCCGACTCATTCGGTAGTTTGTGAGTGACATTCAGCACCTAAAAGCTTTTATTTTACTGTAAGGTTTAATAATGTAAAAAAATATTGGAGGTTCACCTTTACTTTAGGTGCTAATATTAGAGAAAAACAAGCTCCATCCAATGAGCCAACAGTGCAGGAATGGTCGTGATACGATACTACCCGCTACTCTGTCCACAACAGCCATGGCATGTACGTACATCCCACCCAGCAGCAAGGGTTTAACATACAATTACCACAAATCTGTCAGCAATAAAAACTAATACATTTTTTCACTCCTTAGCTTCTGATAGATAGCCTATAGGTTGTAGTCTATATGTGAGATCACATACTCTACAGAAATGTCATGGCAAGCCTCTGCATACATAGGCAGAGCTGAGGTTGAAGTAAGATAGAGCAGTAGAGGGAAAGGGATAGAGAGGTTATTATGAGTAAAAAGCATATTTCCTCATTAAAAACATTACTGTACTCCAAATAAATTGAAGAATTCATATCAACACTACTTTTATAAATATCAGGAAACTTTCTTTGTGTATTTTAAGATTATTTATTGATATGAAAATTAACCCAATGCCGACGGGTATGAAAGTTTGTCAAATGGACATAATAACGGGATTGTTGGCACGCATCGGCAGTTTCCCCTGTCTGCACCTGACTAGTTCGGTAGTTTGTGAGCAACATTTGGCACCTAAAAGCTCTTATTTTTCTATAATTAATAAATATATAATAATTTTGAAGGTTGAACTTAATTATAGGTACTATTGCCCTAAATCTTTACCAAATAAATGAAGCCACTACTATCGGAGAAAAACAAACTCCATCCAACGAGCTAATGGCGCAGGAATGAGCATAATACGAGGCCATCTGTTTTTTGGTCTACAACAGCCATGGCATGTACGTACATGCCCCCCATCTACTAGTGGTTAAGAAAAGATTAGACTACCATGAGATTTTATCATAAATGGAAATAAAAGCCTGATGACTGCTACTTTCAAAAGTAAAGGGCAAAAGAAAAAAGAGAAGTATCAAAGGAGGAAAGTGGAGACATGAATCACTGACATCTGCATAATTATATCCCTCTGTTAAAATATGAGATCTATTGACCATACAGAAGGTGACATCACAGAACTTTACAAGAATACCTTTGTTGTCGGAAAAAAAGAAGAAAATAAAAACACAAAAACACCTCAACCACATATATAGGCAACATAAAAATTGAAATTTGCGGCATTTTTCTTTCCTTCCAACTTCACAATAAACCCTAGAGAATAATGTGGAAGTGAAACTTCTTTTACTCCTTCAATGTGTAATTTTAGGTAAATACATCTTAAATTACCCAATATTGTTATGACTTATAATAAAACCATAAAACAAATATACCAAAAACTAAATCTAGATTACCTTCACTATTAATAAAGTGTGAGATGTCAGGTAATGGCCTAAATTTCTAATGAAATCTAATTACCAAAGATCAACAGAAATAACTCAATTAACTTTATCAATTTCATTCCCATTAGACTATTTATCACCCGTGTCAAATAATCTAGCTCATATAGACAAGCTTATTTTAAGGTTTGCACTGTGGATGAAGAATTAACTTTTTTCTTTTTTTTAAACTGGAATACCTAGAAGGAAAGGTTGTGCAACTCACAATAAAAAATCACCAAGCAGAATAACAACATAAAACTTGTCATGAATAAATATCTGACATAACACACCCTAATTTGTAGTGTCCTTATTAGCAGGGCATATTGACAAACCACATATATTATTTCGTAGAATTAAGCTTTAGCTAAACAAAATTTCCTTACTTTGCACCCTTGGCTTGGTACATAAATTTGTTACCCTAAACTTTTAGACAGCAAATGGCTAATTTACTATTCACCTATTTTGAGTACCAGTAATACTTTTTTTTCCTGTAAGGATTGGAAATAAATTATGTCTTCAACACTTACTCAAGCATAGATTCATCAGCCACTTCAGTCTCAACCACTTATCTCTAATATTTTTGGCATCAATAAATTAAAAAATCAAGAATAAGAGAAACAAACCTAAAAATCATAAGCATAAAATTCATACTCACTCAATGTTCATAAACTATCCACATCAACCTAACAAAAAAAAAAAAAAAAAAAAAAAAAATCTCATTATAACCTAATTTCATTCTTGTCCTTCTTTAAATAAACTGTAAAATAACCTTTGTGAGAGACAGCTGAAATCAAAGTACCATTTTAGTCTCATTAAGCAATTCCACAAGCAAGCTTTGTATTACAAATACTAACCCTCTACAGTAGGCCTAGTGGTGACAACCTCAACAGCTGAGGAGGATATGAAATGCATTCAGAAAATATTGTGGTAGCCATAACCAATATAACAAAAATATAATAACATGCAAATAAGCCTCCATACCTTAAATGATCCGACAAAGAGAAGAAAACCAGCCTTTGATAAAATGCTGTTCGGAACTCCTTGTCCTCCTTGTCCAGACAAGTTGGACAAGATGTTTTGACCGTTCAGAACCTCTACTTTCTCATCCTGGACAAATTGTCCATCATGTCCATCTCTCCCTCCTGTGAAGCTGGGCAAGCAGGACGAGATAACGTCACAAAAATGTATGTAAACAATGACAGTTGCAGGCAACCACAAGATATTGGCAGGTATTTTATGGCCCTTTATTGATGTTACCAAAGGATATTTTTATCTGTCAGTTGCAGGTAAGTTAAATATACATCAAAGGAGTTACAAAACCAATGCAGTGTGCAAATTTTAGACACCTTTCTGATAATGGAGTGAATGTTTATATTTGAGCCAGTTGCATTCAGCAAAGACCTTGGATATTTCGAACACAACCTAGTTGTCCTGCTGGTCCTGACAAGTTGTTTAGACGAGCAAGACGAGGAGTTCCGAACAAAGCAGGAACTATCAAGGTTTAGATTTACTTGCCAGATTACACGTGACGGAGGTTAATGGCACTAATTACTGATCACACTCAATATCAAGTGAATATGGATGAAACATTGAAATAATGGGGGAGGATAATAATCCAATCACTGGAAATGATACACAAAATAAAGATAACCTCTCTTACGTAAAGTTGAATATCAACTATACTTTCAATCCACTTATTTTTTAACTCATTATCCACATCCTCTCCATGATGTCAAAGAAACTTCATCAAAATCTGATTGGAAATTAGTTGTTTCATACTCACACTCCTTCAATTAAAGCACAAATTTATTATAAATGTCTTTACTTGAGTCGAGAATGAAATTACACGAGAAGAAACTTCAACAGTTTTCATTCACATCCGATAGCGGTGCATGCTAAATTAACGCAAAGGACATTAACCATTTCTGTATTTTCGGGTATTCTATGAAACATTCGTTGTGAATCAATTATGATTTATTACTGTCTTACCTAAACCGAAAAACTGCCATCGTTAGGTTAGAGATTAAATTGAAAGTTGAGGAAGAGCTGGATCTGAACGAAGGGAAACAAATCAAAACAAAAACAATAACAAATACCTATTGTTGTTTTTACTGACATTATTATTGCTATACAATCACTACGACTATTATTGACAATATTATCACAACTGTTAATATTAAAGTTATTAAGCTTATTGTCATATTGTTAACATCATCACATCACCATTACTGTGATCATTATCATTACGATCATTATCATCATTATTGTCAATATGATAATTGCTAACATTACTATTATCATGATTACTATTACTATCATTGATAATAATGATATTGATAATGATACACAGCTACATAATGATGATAATAACATGATCATGATAATAATGATGATGATGGTAATAATCATTATCATGATAATAAAAATGATGGTAATGATAGTAATAGCATTAGTAATATAATGATAATGATAATGTAAATGATTATGATAATAGTAGTAGTAGTAGTAGTAGTAGTAGTAGTAGTAGTAGTAGTAACAACAACAACAACAATAATAATGATAATAATAATAATAATTATAATAATAATAATAATAATAATAATAATAATAATAATGATAATAATAATAATATAATAATAATAATATAATAATAATAATAATATAATAATAATAAGAAGAATAATAATAATAAGAATATATTGACCATAATACAATGATAATAATAACAATATTGATAATAATAGCAGTGATGATAATAATGGTAGCTATAATAATAACAATAATAATAAGAAGAATGATATTGACCATAATAACAATGATAATAATAACAATATTGATAATAATAGCAGTGATGATAATAATGATAGCTATAATAATAATAATAATAATAATAATAATAATAATAATAATAATAATAATAATAATAATAATAATAATAATAATGATAATAATAATATGATAGTAATAACATAATGATATAATGATAATAATGATATAATATAATAATAATAATAATAATAATAATATAATAATAATAATGATAATATAATAATAATGATAATAATAATGATAATAATAATTAATAATTGATAATAATAATAATGATGATGATGACAATAATAATGAAATGATAATGATTGATAATAATAATAATAACAATAATAATAATAATAATAATAATAATAATAATAATAATAATAATAATAATAATAATATAATAATATAATAATAATAATAATGATAATGATAATAATGATAATAATGAAAATAATAATATGAATAATAATGATAATAATAATGATAATAATAATAATGGATAATAATAATAATGATAATAATAATAATAATAATAATAATAATAATAATAATAATAATAATAATAATAATAATAATAATAATAATAATAATAATAATAATAATAATAGTAATAACAACAATAACAATGAAGATAATAACAGTAATAACAACAATACAACAACAACAACAATTATAATAATAATTATAATATTAGTAGTAGTAACAATTATAATAATGACAATAATAAAAATAATAATAGTAGTAATAATGAGGATAATAATGATAATGGTAATAACAATAATAATAATAACAATGATAATAATGATGATGATAATGTTGATAATGATAATAACATATCGATGATAATGATAACGACCACAGATATGATGACTATCAACATTAATAACATTAGTAGTATCAGAAATAACTATCAGGAACATCTATATCAAGAAATACTAAGTTGTTTGTTTTAATGTTTTGTCAAACAAAATAGCCTTTGTATCTCTCTGTTTACAGCCTCGAAATGTTACCATAGAAAACGAAATGAATAAGTGGAGTAACTCTCAGTAAGCGAAATGACGTAATTTGACTAAATATTCATGATTATGTCAAAATTTCGAAGAAGCCGCACTTCCTGCCTCATCTGTGACATCATAGCCTCATTAATGACGTCATAAGAAACCTCACTTTTGATTGGCTCTAAAATTCCAGGCTTTTATGACATCATGTCTGATCTCGAACCTGATTGGCTGTCGTATTCCAGG